GGGAGGCAGGGCAGTGACAGCTGGGCTACTGCCGCAATTGGTGTGCTGTTGTCTGTGCCACACTGGCAGTCCGCACCAAACGTCTCCCCAGGAGACAAAGATGAATGTTCCATTTCTAATCTTTATTTAAACCAATTTAAATCAAATCCTCCTTGCTTCCATGTGATTAAAGGGATTATTTGTAACTCAGAAAAGCATTGGAACAAAAGGAGGAAGTCTTTTGTTAACATCACCTCCCCTGCTGTTGACATCATCACCTGTCCACAGGAGTAGCTATGCTAATAGAATTTCAGGCAATACTTTTTTGCCAGAGCATATAAAATTTCCTTTTTTTAAGGATTACTCTTTGACTGTCCACATATGTTCTGCTTTTTACTGATGGTGTCATTGTAGATGTAAGTGTAATTTAAATGGTAATGCAAAATATCCACCAGAATTTGTACACAAAGTAATAGGTATTCGTTGTGTTATGTGCCATCAAGTTGCCTCCAGCCTATGGTGACTGAACCATGGTATGCGAAATCTTCAACTATTTCAATTTTTCATTGGTATTGTTAAAGTTGTGTAGTTATTCTGTACTCATGATTTTTGTCTTCTTAACTTTCAACTGCAGTCCTGCTTTGGTACTTTCTTCTTTTACTTTCCCTAACTGCTGTTTTAAGTCATTGCTGCTTTCTTCCAGTAAGATGGTGTCATCTGCATATCTTAAATTTTTGATATTTCTTTCACCAATGTTCACTCCTCTTTCATCTGAATCTAAGTGCAGTTTATTGGTGAGTTTGAGGGTGACTCCATCTTAGATGCACACTTTATATGTACACCTTAATGTGGTGAATGAGTTTGGGTGAAGCTGAGAACAATAGCATAATGAGTTTGGGTGAAGCTGAGAACAATAGTATCCTAGATGGATGAGGAAGAAACACTTAAAACTGTAAAGGTCAGGCAAGGAGCAAAAGAAAAGGTGACAGAAAAGGATTGGAACCCTGAATGCAGTTTTCCCAGCAACTGTCACATAGAGATTAGAGGATTATTACAATAAGCGGTGCAAAGAAATAGAAGAGAACAACCAAAGGGGAAAAACAAGAGATCTCTTCCAGAAGATCCTTGAAATTAAAAGGCAATTTAAGTTTAGATTAGGAATACTGAATGACCAACAAGAAAGCACACTATCTGACCAGGAGAAAATAGAATATGGCAAGAGTACGTTTACTGAAGACCTGTGCAGAAGAGATAAAAGAATGACAGATTCCTTTGAAAAAGAATCCTATGATGAAGAAGTTGCAGTTCTCAGAGTGAAGTGAAAACTGCTCTGAAAGCACTATGAAGAAATAAATAACAAGGGATAAATAGGATACCGGTAGAACTATTTCAAGCCATAGTACAGTGGTGCCTCGCATTATGATGTTAATTCGTTCCAGTGAAATCGCTGTAGAACGAAAACATCGTAAAGTGAAATTAAAAAGCCCATAGAAACGCATTAAAACCCGATTAATGCGTTCATGTGGGCTTGAAACGCACAGTCCAGAGAAGATCCTGCATAGCGCGGCCATTTTCACTGCCCGTGCAGCGAGGAATCCATCCCAGAAAAGAGGGGGGAGCCATTTTTTTTACCCAGCGGCCATTTTGAAACCGCCGATCAGCTGTAGGGAAATCGTCGTTTTGCGAGAATCGGTTCCCGAAGTAGGGAACTGATCATCGCAAAGCGAAATTCCCCCATAGGAAACATCGTTTTGCGATCGCTTTTGTGATCGCAAAAACTTCGTCGTGATGTGATTTTGTCGTTAAACGGGGCGCTCATCTTGCGAGGCACCACTGTAATTGATTCTGTCAAAATCCTAAAAAGAATATGTCAATAAATATGCTAAATGAAACAAGGGCCCACAGGCTGGAAACACTCAATATACAGTGGTGCCTCGACTTACAAACGTCCCTACTTAGGATCATTTCGAGTTATGACCAGCCCTGGCTGCAAAATTTTGCTTCTACTTGCGACCGGAGCTTCCACTTAGGAACAGAAAAAGGCGAGGGGGAAAGGCAGTAAATTCAAATTTCTAACTGTAGGCGGCGATGAGGCTACTTCTTTGGCAGTAAATTCAAATTTCTAACTGTAGGCGGAGATGAGGCTACTTCTTTGGAGCTCTTTCGACCCAGCAGTTAGAGAGTGTGTGTCGGCGTTTCGTCCCAGCAGTTAGAGAGTGTGCGTCGGCGGCGGCGGCTTGGAACTGCCTCCTGCTTCTGAGAGCGTGTGTGTGTGTTTGCAGGGAGGCATTGGGCTGCCTTGTAAGCTGTTTTCTGCTTTAAAAAACTGTTCTGGATGTTTTTGCAGCGTGGTTTGGGGCTGGAGGGGTTATGTTTCTGTGCTGTGATGGGTCATGGGGGCTTTGTTTGTTTTTTGGTTCCCCCCCCCATTTCTGATGGGTCTTGGGGGGTTTGTTTGTTTTTTGGTTCCCCCCCCCATTTCTGATGGGTCTTGGGGGGTTTGTTTGTTTTTTGGCTCCTCAACATTTCTGATGGATCTTGGGGACTTGGTTGCTTTTTGGGGGTTTCCCCCCATTTCTGATGGGTCTTGGGGGGCTTGTTTGTTTTTTGGCTTTCTCCCCAACATTTCTGATGGGTCTTGGGGGGGGTTGGTTGCTTTTTATGTTTTTCCCCCATTTCCGATGGGTCCTGCATGCTTCCCTTGCTTTTTCATTTGTTTTCTTTGTATTTCCGACCTGCCCCCTTTGTTCTCTGTGCATTTCCAATCTGCTCCATTTGTTTTCTGTGCATTTCCAATGGGTCTTGCATGCTTAATTGCTTTTCTTCCTCCTCCCTTCAGCCGGAAGGGATTAATCGCGTTTCCAATGAGTCTTGCACAGATTTGTTTATTGTTATTTTTTTCTTCGGCTGGAATGGATTAATTGCATTTCAAAGCATTCCAATGGGAAATGGTGCTTTGATTTACAACCCTTTCGAGTTATGTCCATCTTCTCGAATGGATTATGGTCGTAAGTGCAGGCACCACTGTACATTACAATCTCCAAGAAAGGAGGTACCAAGCAGTAACTGTAGGGCCATTGCTTTAATTTCCCATGCAAACAAACCGATGCTCAAAGTGGAGCAATAACGGCTTTAATTGTACATGGAGCAAGAAACACTTGATGTTCCAGATTCAGAAAGGAAGAGGTACTTGAAATCATATTGCAAACATTCACTGGTTCATTTCAGAAGGAGATCATTATTTGCTTTATAAAGTATTGCAGAGACCTTGACTGTGTGGATCATGAGATGCTATGGTTGTTCTGAAAAAAAAAATAGATGTGCCTCAGCACCTGATTGAGTTTTGATGCGTAACCTCTATTGTGGACCAGAAGCATAGAGAGAATAATTTCCTGTAGTCCAAGGTTTCCGATAAGGGTACATGTTATCCCCCTGTCTATTCAATCTGTACACAGAACAGATCATATGTAAAGTTGGGCTAGATTCAGATGAAGGAAGAATGAAAATTAGTTGAGGACACATCAGTACTGTAAGAGAGAGAGAGAGAGTATCACATAGTTTTGCTGGAAATTGTGGTGGTAGACTAGTGTGGTTCTCAATTTTAACAAAGTATAAATACACAATGTCAATCCTAAATTGCTGGGGAAATGTGAAATTAGAGTGGCAATTGATATTAAGATAGCAGTACTGCTGTTACTAATTGCAAATATTCTTTTCCTTCCTTATCTTCCCCATGTATAGCTATGCTAAAATTCGTGTAGTCTTTTGGATATAGGTCTTCATATTTTCTGAAGAATTCTTGCTCTAGGCTCTTTCTTTCTCATGAGAAAGGTAGCATGTATAAGAAATGTGACCATTTCTGTGCTGGCCACCATTATCTTGAACATTCTTCCAAGAGTGGTTGGTCCAGCCCTGGCTTAGCTTGACATGACATGACAAATGTTCCTGTTGCCATAACACTAGCTATCTAATAGTTGAAATTTACCATATTTTTCGCTCCATAAGACACAGTTCCCCCCCCAAAAAAAAGTGAAGGGAAAAGTGTGTGCGTCTTATGGAGCGAATACTCCCCCTGCCCCATCGCTGCCTTCCCAGGCCCCACCCCACCCTCACCAACACCCTCAGAGGCAGCGATGGCAGTGAGAAGGGACCCCCTGAGGCTTCGGACCAGTAAGGTGCTGCTTTTTACTTTTTTAAAAAATGTTCTGGGTGGGTTTTGGAGAGTAGGTTTGGGCTGGAAGGTATGTTTCTATGTTGTTTAGCCACCTAGAGTGGTTGCAAGACCAGATGGGTGGGACATGCATAAACAAACAAACAAACAAACAAATAAATAGCATTTTGGTGAGGTTTTTTTGCAGTCCCAGCGTGGAACTTGCACTGTTTATTTATTTAATTGCCCACCCCTGATACAGAGGAATATTTGTTCCTGTTTTCCTCTTCTAAAAATTATGTGCATCTTATAGTGAGGTGCATCTTAAGGAGCAAAAAATACGGTATGTATCATTTCCAATAAAGTGGTGTGAAAGTTTTTCTACAGTCATTCTGGAATAGGGAGAGGAACCACATTGCTAGATGTGGGAGTGAAGGGTGCTTGGCACAGAGGTGGCATCTCCTGTTTGGAGTTATACACTGACTCTGCTAGATTGCAGAGACATTCCAAGCTATATCAGGGTATGTGGTGTTTAAGAGGGCTGAAATAATTGTTAGACTCAAGGTAACTGATATTCTATTGATCCTTCTCCATATGTTTACTAATTTCTCATGACCTGTTTATTTGTGTAAAGGATTTATTTGTCACTTTTATACCCATCACAACTCTAAATATGTGGTAAGGTGTATAGTGCCACCAATACGAAAAGGCCCTCTTTCTGTCATAGGACATGTTTTCCTTCATGAGTTGACTGGAATGACACATCAAACAATGCATGCTAAAAAGGAGTAGTGCAGACTTACATACAGTTTGGGCTGTTTGTCTGGTATTTAATTAAACTGATTTATGCAATGTTATCTATGTTTTCCAGGTAAAGAAATGGACTACATTTGTTTGCTGTTCATTCTAGTTCCTCAGTGAAATGTGAAGAAATGATCTTTCAAATTTGATTTGGACTGAAAATGTCTGCAGACATAGAAAAAGAGAGCATGGTATTGCAAAACACCTATCAAGAAGTGGAACCACAAATAACTAATCCAGAAGAAATATAATAAATCTTGGTTATGGTGCAGTGCTGGACTGGATTTAAAGCTGTAGCACATAGGTAGCCCACTGCTTCTAAATTATGGAAATTTTGTGGAAGACGTTGACCTGGATTTTGTGCTTAATTATGGTTTTGTCAGAATTTCACAGTGACGCCAGGCTTTCATATAGTTCTCAAGGTAGGGATCCAACCTTTTAAGCTATTTTTTGTCTTTTCAGAAAGTTTTTCATAACATTGGTATTAATATTTATTGTGGAAGATAGCAAATGCATGATTTTTTAGTTACTCAAAGAAAGTAGTACTGAAATATGCATGTTTCTTTTATTAGCAAAATAAAAGTCAATATTTTATTTTTTATTTCATAATAAAGAAATCCAAAAAAATTCATGATTGTTTAAGTGATGGAGGTGATTTACATACTTAAAACCAGATCTACAATGCTTGCTTTTAGTTTTTTCATTAAAGATGTAATATACTCTTACTGTTCCATCAAAAGTCCCATGTGCTCTGCAATATATATGTTGAGCCCCTCTGCTTACAGGTTCCCTCATTCATTTGAATGGAAATAGCAGATTTAAACAAGCAGAGAGAAACTTTACATTTGAGTTTATTTAGGAATCCTTTTTGGCCAAGGAGTTGTACATAGATTGACTAAGAGAACTAGCCCAGGACAGTTACATTTGCTTTGCTCTCTTTAACTGTACCCTTACACATGTACAAAAAAATAATGTCCATGTAAATCCTGTTTTCAGTAGGAAAATAGGAAATCACTTCTACTCTTCCAGGGACAAAGGTTAGCCATTGAAAAGTATACATTAGAATAGATAGTATACTCAGAAAAAAAGATGTTCAGATTTTTTATTGCTAGGATGTGTTTTCCTTTATCATAAAGCAGATAATATATTTAGTAAAGAACTTTTGTTTTATTGAAATAAAAGTTGAAGATGTTTGAATGTGGAAAACTATGTACTGTATAACATTGTACTACTCCTTGTGTGCTGTTATATTTTCTTCTTTTTTATGCCTATTTCTTGGACCAATTTTCAAAGAGGAATTCCTGTCTTACCTTGAACACTACCAACTAACCATCCCAATAAGGGTTGATCATAATGGAGCCTTCCTCAGCTTTACTGTGAAAAATACAAAACCCTCCAGGAGAAAGAAGAGGAGCATTGGACATTATGACCAAGAACTGGCAGTGTCTAAATTATTTTTTAAACTTTCTGCCTATGGCAAGCACTTTCATTTAAACCTGACTCTCAATACAGATTTGGTATCCAAACACTTTGTAGTAGAATACTGGGGGAAAGATGGACCTCAATGGAAACATGACTTTTTAGACAATTGTCATTACATTGGATATTTGCATGGCCAGCATGGTGCAACTAAAGTAGCATTGAGCAACTGCAATGGTCTGGTAAGTGCAAATTATATATTTGGCACATTGGTACAATTAATTCTTTACATGCTCAGAAAAAAAACAGGTTTATTTTTAATACAGTTCTCATTGTTTGGATCTGGATATCTTGTTGCCCTGTTCTGTAACTTGTTCTAATAATAATGTCTTTATCGAGAGCAAGTTAAGAGCATTATTACACTCAGTGGGGCGTACTTCTAAGCAAACATGACTTACTGCTTTTGGCCCATATGTTCTTTGGGCTCTTCAGTTCTATGGTGTGATGTGAATGACTGTACTTTATATTTGTGGGTAGGCTTACTATTGTACAGCAACAGAAAACGTAACAATTATGCATAGCTATATATACTCTGGTAAACATTTGGAGCACACACAGAAGAAAAGTTTCTGCAAGTGGTAAATTCTAAAATATCATGTACAGAATAAAACAGGACACTTTTAAGTGTAACCATAATACTTTTTGAGGAGCCTTTTACCCTGTTGTTCCATACTAGTGGATATTAGCTGCCTGAAGTCTTTTCTCTTTCAGCAACCAAGGAAGTAGTAGTTTCACTCCAAAGTCATAAAAGGGACAATAAGTTTTTAAATACTGTACAAACAGCAGTGTTTGAAAATTTAAGTAAGAAACATACATACAGTATGAGCCTTATCTGTTGCTAATCAGGATTATCATACAGTTGAACATCTAGAGTGCAGTCATACATATGCCTAAGTAAAAGTAAATGCCATTGAGTTTGGGATTGCTCACTAATGAATATTACAGGGCTATAGGACAAGTGTTGATCAAATGAATCATATTCCCTTATTATAACCAGAAAGTGATGGGGGAGCAGTAGGCTATTTTCTGTGGTTTTGAAACAGGCATATGAAACCAAGCAGCTTGGAAGAGTTTGGCTCAAGGATGGGTCATAAGTAATCTATTACTTTTTCAACCTGAAAATCACTATACTACGCTCCTTATATAGTGCTGTAATGATTTTCAAGTTGAAAGGGTAATAGATTACTTATTTGCAACGGTTTAAAATTTATGAAGGACCTGCAACAAACAGGCACAGTATTTTGTAGGTTTTTGTTCTTGTAAACTTTGCTATTGTTGAATGTTATTGCCTGATTACTTTGTACAGTCTTCCAGGAAACAGAACATTTGCTTTATTAGGTCAGGTAGAAGGTGAAGAACATTGTTTCCCATAATAGTAGTGTAACATATTTGTAGTTTTTCTTATAAATAAGATTTTCCAGCCTATTTTAGGGTGTGGTGCTCATAAGCTTGTTTCCCTGGCATGTCAAGTAGCAACCTCTTTTGCTTGTCTAGTAACCCATATGTCCACTAAGAAGAGGGGCTAAAAGGGAGGTGATATTGGCTACACATGAAACAGGTGATAATACAGAGGATGAGAGAATTATGTGAGTAATGATTGGTTGTGAGAGAGTGAAGTTTGGAGAAAAAATAAGAGCTGCATCATTTATTTACTTTAAATGTATATGTTAGGAATTAGCTCTTGCTTTTTTCAAAAAGTATTTTTAATTTATTGCTTCATAAACTCTGCAAAGTAGTAGTACAGTAGAACATAATGAGAAATATATCCAGAAATTACATGTAAGTTGGTAAAATATAAAATACATACAGTTAGGATCTCTCTCTCTCTCTCTCTCTCTCACACACACACACACACACACACACACATCTCTGTCTCTCACACATGTGCGCATGCACGCACACACACAAACACACGCACACACACACAGCCTTTTTCAGAGTAATCTATTTCTGAACACCACAGCAAACCACTTGGAAAACAAAGTGTGTGGTCTGAAGACCTGTTGATATTAAGTATCTTGGGAGAGAACAGTCAATGAAACTACACTGTATGCATCTAAGCCACTGGTTCTTAACCTTGAGTTACTCAGGAGTTTTGGACTGCAACTCCCAGAAGCCTTCACCACCAGCTGGGGTTTCTGGGAGTTGCAGTTCAAAAGCACCCAAGTAACAAAGGTTAAGAACCACTGATCTAAGCCATTACAGTATTTGAATTCCAGCTTTCTCCAGCATGCGTTTCGTGTTTTCTCAGTTCTTCTAAGGCTTATCAAGATTCAATGTGTTGCAATGGTTGTAGTTAGAATAGGACTGCCAAGTCTTAAGTTCAAATATACATTTGCTGTAAAGCTCACTGAGTGATTGGCCAATCATAATCTCTCAGTGTAGTCTAACATAAGGTTCTTGCACAGGTAAAAAGAGAGGGGGAGGAAGAATTGTGTATCACCAACGTTAAACTGCTTGATGGAACAGTGTATATTTACAATAAAAATAAAACATGTTTTAAATGAATTCCAACTTCTGTGCCATTTTCCTGCCATTTCTCTTGTAGGTAATACAGGCTTGCATTGATGCTGGTTAATGCAGCAACTCTCTGCTGCAGAAAAATATAATGATGTAACCTTCTGTCTGTATGCAGTGTAGTGATATGCCTTTTTTGTGGATATTTGTATTTTTTTGAAGTGGTAGCCACATTATTCTGTGAGAGCGTATCATTAAGAAGCACAAAAGAAAGCAAAAGCAAAAATAAAATAAGATTAAATAAGGAAAACAAAGATGTCATGGCAGCTGAAAAACTAACTGCTATAATTTAATGTGAGCTTTTATTTAATAAATCTACTTCTTCAGATATTAGAGTAAGAATACAAAGACTACACAGTAAAACATTCATTTCCATCAAGATAAAGAGGTAGTGGTAGCTAGTAGACTCGAGTTGCATTTAGACCCTGTTTGGTATTCAGTTCTTTGCTCTGTTAATAGCAACAATGATTAGTAGCTAAAAGAAACAATACCACGAACAGCATTTCAGGACATACCTCAAAATTTAACTTAGTTATTTCATTTATTTCCTCATAGATTGATTGCCAACATTATATTCTTACAGTCTCACTGCATATGAAAATAAGAACCTACAGTATTTTCTGACATCCTCTCCAGAACACCTAGGGATAATGAATATCTATTTGATATAATTTTACTGGATTTAAATACCATCTCCAAACTTAACTTATAATTTTTTTCCTTTATCCTTAGTCATGGATTTCAATATTCTTAAATCACATGTATTGTTGCAAATTTTGTTGCGTAACTTGTGCCTGAGGAAGACATCACTGGCAGGGGGAGATTTTTAGTAATGAAAGACTTCAATTTTCTCCCACAGCTTTTCTAACTCCTGCATAATTCCTTACATCATGTGGAAGCTATGACATGAAAAGAGGTCTTTAATTACCCTGCTAGTAAAGTCTGTGGGAGTGATCTTTGGTTATTAAAAATTCTCACCTTCTGTCCTCTGGCTCCCCTGGCTTTCACACAATGAATGGGATTACTTGGGAGTCAGGAAAAAATATACGACAGAAGTAAATTTTTAATTAGAGAAAATAGCCCCTGCTTGTGATGTCATCATCCTTCTGCAACTATAAATTTGTTGTTCACTCGTGTCTGACTCTTCGTGACCCCATGGACCAGAGCATGCCAGGCCTTCCTGTCTTCCACTGCCTCCCAGAGCTGGGTCACATTCATGTTGGTAGCTTCGGTGACACTGTCCAACCATCTCATCCTCTGTCGTCCCCTTCTCTTCCTGCCTTCACACTTTCCTAACATCAGGGTCTTTTCCAGGGAGTCTTCTCTTCTCATGAGATGGCCAAAGTATTGGAGCCTCAGCTTCAGGATCTGTCCTTCGAGTGAGCACTCAGGGTTGATTTCCTTTAGAATGGACAGGTCTGTTCTCTTTGCAGTCCAGGGGACTCTCAAGAGTCTCTTCCAGCACCACAATTCAAAACCATCAATTCTTCGGTGGTCAGCCTTCCTTATGGTCCAGCTCTCCCTTCCATACATCACTACAGGAAAAACCATAGCTTTGACTTTGCGGACTTTTGTCGGCAAGGTGATGTCTCTGCTTTTTAAGATGCTGTCGAGGTTTGTCATCACTTTCCTCCCAAGAAGCAGGCGTCTTTTAATTTCATGACTGCTGTCACCATCTGCAGTGATCATGGAGCCCAAGAAAGTAAAATCTGTCACTGCCTCCATATCTTCCCC